CAGAGGACCGGGGTTCAGTTCCCAGCACCCACATTCGTGGCTCACAATAGCTTGTAGCTCCAGCTCCAGGGGATCTGATGACTCTGGCCTCTTCACGACACCGGGACTGAAGTGCACAGACATCACACACACATAATTAAACGAATAAATCTTCAGAGTAAGATCACGGCCACCAATCTGAGGGGAGAACCGGTTGGCTGGACAGTACCAGACCGACTTGGAGCTGTCGAAAGGATTGCTGGGTGCTCTGGGGCGGGGCGGCGGCAGGGGATGGCTGTTGGCACACGCCCAGCCGAGGGGGGCTCTGGCCTCTGGCTCTGCCCCGGAGGAAGCAGAGCAGCACCACAGCTGCGGTTTCCAGTGTGGGGGCCACCCCACCCCACCCTCACTTCCCCCGGGTACTCTTGAGCAGGTAGAAACATAGAGGAGAGAGACAGACAGACAGACAGGGAAGCTTCGGGAGGGCCTCCATCCTAATCCATCAGGCCCGACCGCCAGGCCACAGGGCTTTTAGAGGAATGCCCAGGGGCGGAGCCAAAGACCTCCCCCAGCAGAGCCGAAGGCAGACCGTCCCTGGCGACCTTGCCTGAGGTCCGATCACCCCCTCATGCAGCTCCGCCGTGTCAGGCAAACTCAGATCTCACAAGGAAATCCTGTGGGCTCCCACACAGAAGTGGGGAGACTCTGCTCTCTCCCCCTTTTCAGATGGAAGCCCCAGCCCCAGCCGAGAGGAGCAGGCCCGAGACAGGTCCAGGTGACGTTACAGCCATGTCTCCAGCGCAGCCCTGTCTCCAGTACGATAATTAGTTCTTCCTAAAATAACGCCTTGGAAATGTCAGCTCTTTTTGCTCTGCACCTTGGAATTCTGTGTCTGACCTTGGTCTACTCACATCTACCATGTTCCCGAGTTCCCCATATTGAGGTTTCCCTCTGAGTCCCTTCAGGTTGGGCAAAGCAGTTAGTGCTCTAGCGAGCCACAGATCTTTATACACTTCCCAGAAAATACACCCTGCCCCTTCTGTTCCTCCGTGACACAAGGAAGAAAGAGGACCATGCTTTAGTACAACAAAATGAGATTTACTTTCAGAGTATTGAACTTGACTGGGGTGTGTGGAGGCCCGTTCACTTTCTGTCTGGATGGTGTATGGCACCCTAAGGCAAGAGGCCAAGGAGAACGAAGCCCTGTTCCCCAGCGCGGCGGCCACCCCTGACCGCGAGCACCCTGGGTGGGGATCACACTGCTCCCGTGCTGGAGGACTGGACCAGCTACTAGGACCCAGCACTTCAGGCCCAGACCCTGGACCAAGGACTTGAGTTCACATAGCAAGCCTCCAAAGCTAGGGCTTCTTCTTACGGTTAAGGATTTAGCTTGTTGTTTGCCCAGCGAGGTCTGGTGCCCTCCCTGTGTGCCATCGCTGATTAAATGTGGGTTGAGCTAACCTCCTCTACTTCCCAACACTGCATTGGGCAGGGCTAACCACAGGCTCATGACCTCCCTGGCCTTCTTCAGGCCACAGTTCTCCTTCTATTCACCCAGCACGTACATGCTGATTTCCTGTTCCATGAGGGCCCACGGCCAGACAACACACAGAAGGTAAACCCACCTGCCCTGCGATGTGGGTCCGTGTTACCCTGAGGACTGCTGGCTGAGGCTGCAGGCTGGTCAGAACGCACTGTCCTCACCGTCTGCTGTAGCTGAAGTACAAACTGTCCGCTACAGTCCCGTGTGCTTGATCAGTTGGTTCCCAGACCTTTGGAGACCTTGTAGAACCTTCTGGACTCGTGCACCCTCGCAGGTGAACGTGTGCCTGTGGTATTTGTAGCCAAGCCCTGCTCCTGTGCTGTGGCCCGGTTGGTACCATGCTGCTGCAGCCCATGCTCTCATGGATCAGGCTGCTTCAGGCGCCATGTCTTCCCACCATAAAGTATTTCCTGAACTGCGAACCAAAGCGGACCTCTCCCTGGAGTTGATTCTGTCAAGCATTCGTCACCGTGATGAGATGCCACAGGAGTTCCTGCAAAGGCCATGTCCTGCAGCTGGGCACTCTGGAGTCACCGTGGAGCTCCAGCAAGAGGCTGTGGCCTGGACCTCAGGCTCCGTGACCAGTCCCCGGGAGACAGTGCCCACCTACAGCGCCAACAGAGCAGTGGAGACGCGGGCAGGGGGTAAGGCGGAGATGTCTGCACAGGACACTGGGGTGCCATGGGCAAGTCAGCCTGCAGCTGGCCACTTCCCTCTTGGCATCTTCTCTGCCCCGAATGGATCAGCTTCTTTTGCTTGAGTTTTCTCCTGTTTATGGAGCAGGTTGATCTGGAGTCCACACGTGAGAGAAACAAGTCACGTCTCTGAGCCGGGCTGCTTTGCTCATCTGATGAACTCTTTACAATACCCTAACTTTATTCTTTACAGGTGGGTGAAACAGCACTGTGAACACACACTGCAGTCTTTACTTATTCTTCTGTTCAGACACTTACTCTGGCTTTGTAACTTGGCCGTGGTGAGGAGCACCGCGGTAAACGTGGTGAGCAGGCACCTGCCGTGGGCTGACTTAGCTTCCACTGGGAACAGCCCTGTAGTGGTCTGGACGGTTCACATGATGGCTGACCCTCCATGCTAAGGGCAAGTGTCTCTCTCGTGACGGGGGTGGGGGGTCCAGTGCAGCTTTCATTTACATTCCCCGATGACTGGGGATGCTGAACATATTTTAATATTTATTGGCTATTTGCACTGTATCTTTTGAGAACTGTTTATTTTGTAATTTTAAGTAGGATCGTTAGGGATTTAATTTTGTAAGTTTTTTTTTTTAAGATTTATTTATTATGTCTACAGTGTTCTGCCTGCATGTATCCTTGCAGGCCAGAAGAGGACACTACATCTCCTTACAGATAGTTGTGGGAATTGAACTCAGGACCTCTGGAAGAGCAGCCAGTGCTCTTAAGCTCTGAGCCATCTCTCCAGCCCGGTTTTTGGTACTTTTGTTTTTAAAAAAAAAAAAAAAATCAGCTGGCTATATCCGTTCGGTTATTTCTTATCACCTGTTCCATTCAGTTGGAATACATGTCTGTCTTGGGGTTGGCGCCAGACTGTCCCTGTCACTGACTCCAGCATCATGACATGAGCTGTGTCGTCCCCCCTCCCCACCCTCCCCTGCACTCTTCACTTGGGAGTGGCCCGTCTACTCAGGGTCTTTTATCTTCTCAGTTAGTTTCAGGATTATTTTTCTAATTCTGTGAAAGATGCACTAGAATTTTGAAGATTTGCATTGAATCTGTGGGTCACTTTCAGTGACAAGGCCATTTTCACAATATTAATTCTGCCACTCCAGGAGCACAAGATGTCTTTTTGTCTTCTAATGTCTTCTCGAATTTATTTCTCCAGTATTTTGAAGTTTGCATTTCCCCAGTACTTGTCTTTGGAGAGGTCTTCCAACTTCCTTGGTCATGTTTATTTGTAGTTACTGAGGGGAATTATTCCCCTGCATGCTCACGGACTGATTTTGTATGTAGACGTTGTAGTATACGGCCTCGAAGTATTTAGCTGATTGCCTCGTAACACTGAGCGGCAGCTGAGTCCTGCTTTCCTTCTCCTCTGCAGAGCGATGCTCTCATCTGGCTGCAGCTTGTGTGACTGCTGTCCAGTTTTCTTCCACGTGGTGGCCACCTTTCCTTCCTTCCTTCCTCCCTCCCTCCCTCCCTCCCTCCCTCCCCCCCTCCTCTCTCTCTCTCTCTCTCTCTCTCTCTCTCTCTCTCTCTCTCTCTCTTTCTTTTTTTTTTTTTTCTGAGACAAGGTTTCTCTATATAGCAGTCCTGGCTGTCCTGGATCTCACTTTGTAGACCAGGCTGGCCTCGAACTCACAGAGATCCACCTGGCTCTGCCTCCTGAGTGCTGGGATTAAAGGTGTGCGCCACCACCGCCCGGCCACCCTTGTGTTTCTCAGTGAACACTCTAGCCACTCCGGTAGCCAGAGTAAGACACTGCCCTAGAGACTTTCACACATCCACCTCTCAGACTCACAAACACCATTTTCCTCCTATTACTGTGGTTGGCTTTGACCTTGGGACCACAGAACACTTAGGTGGAAAAGACCTTGCTTTTAAACGTGTTTTCATAGATGGCAAAACGAACAAGCAAACAGCCAAGCTGTCACTGCCTCAGTGACACCAAACAAAGGAAGGGAAGAGCGGTACTTGTAGTTCTCCTCTGCTCACATCCACGCTGGGACAGACCAGGGACCACCTGCATGCCTCCGGGCAGAGCAGAGGGCATCAGCTGCCTGGTGCGAAAGGCTTTAGGCCCGAGGAGCACTTTCTGCAAAGTCAAGGCCTTTAGGGGACCATCACCAGTGTCATAGCCAAGAGCGCACAGCCGGGGACACACAGGGTAGATGGGTGATGCTGTCATTACGAAATCTTCTGGGTGCTGAGTGACTCCAGCTCGCTGGAGATCCAACTCTTGATACCAACGGTGGCAACGTGAGGTGCCCCACTTCGGTCAGCGTCATTGGAAATGCTGAGGGCACTGGCAATGGGAGGGGGGGCGGGTCCAAACCCCTGCCAGTCCTCGTTCAGAGGGCGGCTGAGGCCACACAAGCCAGTGACTGCTTCAGCTCAGCTTGCTCTGCTCTGGCAAGGCCTGCAAACATGGCAGCATGCCGGCCTGGAGCCCACCCAAACAGCCATCTGCAAAATAATTTAGTTTTAGATTCCTCCGTCTTCACCTCCCATCCCTTCCCACTCTTGGTCTAACTGGAGAATCTAGCAACCTTGAACCCTCCCGCCAGCAAGCTGCTGTCCAAGTCAGCCGAACATGTCAGGTCTGCTCCGTACCCTACGGAGACTCGGCCAGCTGGAGGCCTGCAGCTGAACTGCTCGGCTGAACGCAATCACAGAAGGTAGCAGGGCAGCAGGTAGCGCGCGCTTCAGGTAATCATTACTGAGGAGCATGCTCCCTGTATTTCTAAAAGTTTACTAAAGAAATTACATAACACTATCATTCCACATCATTTTAAAAAGCTGTTTAGCATTCTTTATTTGTTAAAAAAAATGGTCATTAAAGATGACTTTTCCTTGCAAACTGATCAGAAAGTACGGCCTCCATTTTTGGCGACTTGATTTTGTTTAAATACATCAAGGATAGGTAAGTATTGTGACACAAGCATAAAAAATTGACAAATCAAAAACACACTGTCTGGGAACTCACTGTCAGGTGACTCGGCTAGTCTCCTCAGTTTCCCTGGGGAGCCCCAGGTCCCATCAGCGGTCACTCAGGGCCTGTCCCCCGGCCCCCCGGAGCTGTGAAGGCAGGCCAGCCAGCCAGTGTGCAGAGTACTCACTGTGGTCCACCTGACCAGCAGCAAGATCACAACTGTCTCCACACGGTCTGGCTCACAGTGAGGCTGAGGGAAAGGTCTGCAGGCCAGACCCCTGCTCAAAGCACAGGTCCCTCGGGGTCAGGGAAGGCCAAGTCCATCATCCTTCCTCAGCATGGTCTCCTGCCACTAAAATCACCTAGTAATGAGCAGCCAACATGCGTCCCCTTCTGCAACCACCCTGCCTTCCAGTATGTCCTGGGAATATGGCAGCATCAAGTGTGCACGCCAGTGCAACAGACCACAAAAACTCCAGCACCAGCCACCATTCACAGGTTCCCTCACGCCTGTGAGAACAAGGGCATTTGTTGTTTTTTCCTAGTTCCCTAAAAAAATCTGAAGTTCTAGTGAAACATTATCAGGAACTCAAGAGGTTCTGAAAAAGCTCCCCATTTCCAGGGGAAGTCACTGACTCCTTAGAGGGCATCACAGGTTCAACCTATGAGCCTGCTGGTTGCAGCCCTTCGCTGTCAGGAGTCTGGACAAGCTGGAGGGGGGTTCCTTCTGCTCCGTGGTCTCACTGGCCAGCGGATCTCACCGGCAGACACCACTGCTTCACTGAACCTAGAGAGAAGCAGGCACATCTGGAGCTGTCGGAAGATTTCTGTGATCTTCCAACACACACGAGGAAATCCTGTTGCATTCCAGAGGAGAGGGCGGAGGCAAGGCACCTGAAGGAAGCGAGCTTTGAGGCAGTGAGGAGAAATCACGAAAACATAGGCTGCCAGGGATGGTGTCCGAGCAGAGGACTCGTGCGACGTCCACATGTGAGCAGATGATCGGATGGACGTCCACGTGTGAGCACATGATCAGAGAGATGTCCACGTGTGAGCAGATGATCGGATAGACGTCCACGTGTGAGCAGATGACCAGCTAGACGTCCACGTGTGAGCAGATGATCGGATAGACGTCCACGTGTGAGCAGATGATCGGATAGACGTCCACGTGTGAGCAGATGATCGGATAGACGTCCACGTGTGAGCAGATGATCGGAGAGACGTCCACGTGTGAGCAAATGACCAGACTAGGTCCGGCAGAGCTTCAGCGGGAAATTCTCCGTGATGAGGTGATCAGCATGAAGAAGGACCACCACATTAACCTCAAACTCTGCAGGGAAGAGAGAGACGCTCACTCACACTGAGCACTGGGAACAGTCACAGTGAGGCAATGTCCAGGTGCTGCCTGGGATTCAGTGTCTCCCTGGACTCTCTGCAGACCCAGTGAGACCCCATACTGCATGTGACTGCCACCCTAAGCTTCTCTACCTGTCTTGTCGGCCCACAGTGTGGGCCTGACAGAGTGGCCACACCTACAGCTCCAGCACTCGGGAAGCTGAGGCAGGAGGAGGGCAGTGAGCTTGAGGCCAGCCTGGGCTAGAGTCAGTTCCAGCATGGCCTATGCTACAAGACGACCCTGGTGATCTGTTGTGTGAACAAGGAGAGCGGCAGAGCTGGGTCAGCGGCTGCGCATCTGCCATCAGCTGAGGAGGCCTTTGCTGGAACACTTGGCTCTTCCATTCCCGCAGACAAGCTTCCTTCACTGGCTTTTCAGTCTTTACAGGTAAAGTCACATCCCGGGATGAATGTGAAGAGGAAGTACCCCACACAAAACTGAGCCCTGTCTTTAATTTTGCTGGTATGGGCAAAGAGATGCCAGCACCACACTGCAGAAACTCAGCTCTGGGCAGGGTTTGGGGTGTACATACTCATACATGGACCCATGCAAATACACATAATTAAAAATAATAAGTGGCATTAAAAAAAAAAACCATGGAGAAGTGTTTTCCCAGGGTCAGTCCCCAAGGAGCACAGAGGCCACCACATCTGTGGTAGAAGGTGGCCAGAGCTCAGAACAATGTGGCAGCAGTATCCACGCTGGCTTTATGGGTGTGCAAAATGCTAAGGTGATGGTGTTATGGAAATTTGTACAAGTGTTTCAGAAAGCCAGAGGCCAGGCGGGGCATGCCAGGGTCAGTTTCCCACAAGAGGCCCTGAGAGAGACCACTGTGAAGCTGTGAAGTTGTACCCAAGGTGCAATGGGAAGCCCCAGAATGTTGGAGAAGCAAGGACTGAGAAACTTCTGCCGAGGAAAGCTGCGGGCAAGAGAAGTTGGCCAAAGACAGCAATTCCATTTGCTGCAGCACTAGAGCTGGATGGGTGGGGCTACCCAGAGCTCCTGGAGCCCCGATGCCAGCCATGGTGACAGACTTGGTATCTGACTGACCTGCTGGGCTTCAGTACTGCTTTGGTTCAACGTTCTCTCTCTCTCTTTTGCCTTGGTCTGTTGTTACTCTTTCTGAGTGGGAATGTTGGTTCTGTGCCTATGTCCAGAGCATGCTTTTTGTCTTTTGATCTTACAAGGACTCACAGCTGAGTCTCAGAAGCAGCTCTGGTCTTTAGATCATGGGACTTCTGAAGCTGCAATGAATGCTGTTGTTGTAGGATGCTGTGTTCTGGCCAGGCTGTCAAAGAGTGCACTGTGGTTGACCTTCATTGTCACCTTGACCAGATCTGGAGTCATGTAAGAGACACATCTGGTATACCTTCAAGGGAATTTCTAGAGATGTTTAGCTTAGGAGGGAAGACCTGCCTTGAATGTGGGTGGCACCATCCATGGCATGGGGTCTTGGCCTTAATAAAAAGAAAACAAGAAAGCAAACCTGATACCAGCATTTATCTGTCATCTGGTTCACCTAGATGTGAGCAGGCAGCCTCTAGTAGTGGATTTTCCACCACCAAGGACTAACCCCCCCAGTCATGACCCACAATAAACCCACCTTCCTTTACTGTTTTAGGTATTTGGTCACACACTACCTTCATGACAACTGGAATGGCTTTTTCTATAGACTCAGGGTGTCTTTGCTTGGCTTCAGTTGGCTTTAGTGTCCTGCACATGCACCTTCTCACTGAGGCATTGTTGAGAAATCAAAGAGCTGAATGTAGTAGGCTGTGACTACTGCATGTCTATGTGCAGGGCATCTGTGTGCAGGGCGCCTGTGTGCAGGGCATCTGTGTGCAGGGTGTCTGTGTGCAGGGCGTCTGTGTGCAGGGCGTCTGTGTGCAGGGCGTCTGTGTGCAGGGTGCCTGTGGTGTGCAGGGTGCCTGTGGTGTGCAGGGCGCCTGTGTGCAGGGCGCCTGTGTGCAGGGCGCCTGTGGTGTGCAGGGCGCCTGTGGTGTGCAGGGCGTCTGTGTGCAGGGTGCTTCTTCCCTATGGACCACACCCTTTCCCGGGCACTAGACGGCTTACCCACTTTGAAGTTAGTGGTCTCCAGGGTTGGGCAGGTGAACAGTCTGGGGAAGACCATGTACAGAGGGACAGAAAGGTTTCTACAAATGTCCCCATCAGCAATTTGAATATTCTGAATCTCTGTGGCATCACGTGCGTAGCCTTCTGCACACCCTGGGAAAGAGGAAACACCATGGGGTCAGGACACCACGACCCCAAAGCAAACTGCTCAACAAACCGGTCCAGTGCTGTGCCAAGGGCACCAACACATTTACCAACACAAACGCAGTTCGTTCCTCGGCACGGGGAGTCCCTCCCTGGAACTTCTCACTTCCTCAAACATCACCACACTGGTGTGACAGTGCTCCCAAGACTTGGGGGGCTGGGAACCTAATGCCCCAATTACCATTTCAAGGATTAACTGCAAGTGGGGTCTTTGGGAGTGAGTAGGCATCGGAACAGCTTTGTTATGAAAATGAGGTTTCTGGCACATCTGCTCTGTTATGACGTGATGTCCTCCACCATGTTAAGACTACAGGAAGGGAGGGCTTAGTGGCTGACAACACTTCCTGCTCGTGTAGAGAACCTGTGATCTTTCCCCGGCACATACATCAGGCAAATCACAACAGCCTCTTAACTCCAGTTAAAGGGATCCACACTCCTTTATGGCCTCCCAGGGGCCCAAACACGTATGTCACAGACACACCAGAGTGGGGACAGAGACATGTTCTGCATCTGACCGCTCTGGGCCGTGTTACAACATGGCAGAAGCTGTCACATGGCGAAGTACAGCTCGCCATATACCAGTGCTCTCCTGAGACAAGCCATAACCGCCAGGAAGACAGTCACTCCCCAAAGCTCTCACTCTCAACACTGCCCTGCCAGGGACTAAGTTTCTGATACGCTGCTTTTGGGAAGCGCATTCAAAGCAAAGCTATGTCTCTGTGGCCCAAAGCTATTCAAATTTCCCTAAGCAGCCTAGGCACAGGAGCATGGCCATCATCAGCAAATGAGGTTGCCATATCCATGATGTGTGGCCACGGCCCTACTTCACTGTTTTTCCATAGGGCTCTGGGAACCTCCTGTGCCACTCCCAGGAATCAAGGGAAGCGTTTTTAAAGCCCGGATCCCAATTCCCCGACACCACTGCACTTCTGAATTAGGATCTTTGAGATTGGGGCTCAGGCACACACACATCAGCAAACTCCAGGAGAAGGAACACAAGTGAGCGTGAGAGCATCCACCTCACAAGAGCAGAGACTTCCAAGGGGAGCCTCGTGTGTTAAAACCACCCAGCACCTCCATCCTCGCCAGGACTGCCTGAGGGTGACAGACAGAAGCCTTACCACAGGTCTCCACCCGCACCAGCTGAAGCTCTATGCTCCGGATGGCAGCATCCGAATGCTCCACCACCAGCTCGCCTGTCAGGGGCTGCGTGATTGCGCAGTTGGTGGAGTTGAGATGTCCTCTGATGAGGAATTTGGGGAGTGAGGCCCTCTACAGAAAAGGAGATAAACAAGACCTCAGGAACAGACGGAAAAGAGCCGTTAGTTATCGTTAGTTATCCCAGTTGCGTCGGTACAAGGAAGGACTGAACACCAGGGTGGGTAATTGTTCTGGGAAGCACTGAAAGCCTGTTTTACAGAACAAGGGTAGTCAACGGGGTTACCGCCTGCCAGCGGACACCAGACTGATCCTCACCCACCCTGTACACACAAAGGACAAACAGACACGGTCAGCTCTGGGGAATCAACTCACGGCCTACACTGACTGGAGAAGCTCCTTCACCAGGCAACAAGACATAAAATGTAGAAAGCCCGGGAAGTTGACAAGGGAGTTTAAGGACAACCACTCCCTCAACCCCAAGCTGAAATAAATACATAAATAAATAAATACATAAACAAATAAATACATAAACATATAAATAAACAAATAAATAAATAAAAAGAAAGAAAAGAAAAAAAGGTTTAAGAAAAAAGAAAAAAGTGGTCAGTTTTACACTGTTCCCAATGAGGCAAGTTTGAAGGCAGTTGTTTTTATTTCTGGGATGTTGAATGAGCAGCTTTTACCCATGCCTGATGAAAAGCTTTGGACTCTCTCTGGAGTCAGGAAGCTGGCCAGGGGAACCCGCAGTGGTACTGAAGGAAAGAGCTGGACAGCCGTTTGGGAGTCTTCATCTCTGTCTTGTCCCACTACCCAGTAGAACCAACATAAGCCAAAATCTAACATCACTTAGAATCTGTAACTGCCTATGAGTACAACTTGAAATTTCCTGGTACCACACTAAAAATTTTTAACACTACATCTAAAACGTTATCACGTCTGCATACAATTGATGAGAAGTATGCACGATGTAGCTCAGCTAGAACACTGCAAGCCTGGCAGGCAAGGACTCTGCCTCCAAACCAGGCACAGAAGCAAGTGTCTGTCATCCTAGCACTCAGGTGGCGGCAGGAGGGTCACAAGTTCAAAGTCATCTTCACCTAAGTAATTCAAGGCCAATCTGGGATACATGAGACCGTCTCCAAAAAAAAAAGTGTAAGTGTCGCTTTGTGTTCTCTTGTTCACATCGAGTCTCTGGGACGGGGCGGGCACTCTCAGCCAGCCGCATCTTGAGGGGCCGTGGTCACCCAGGGGTGGCGGCCACCAGATCAGTGCAGTTCTCAAACACTTGGAAAGTGTTGGAAGAAAAGTAGATAGCAGCAGAGGCTCACCCACTTCAGGCCGCTTGTAAAAAAAGTGCCTTCCAGTGTCGTTCTCAAGAGTCCTGCAGACACTTGGGTCCCTCTCCCGGGTAGCATCTGCTGGTGCTGCCCTGTCCGGTGTCCTTGCTGTCCACACCCAGGAACATGTCTCTGACAGGAATGCCAGTGAGACTGCAAACTCAGCCTCAGGAAGGGACGAGAGGCCAAGACCCAGTGCAGACCAAGAGTCCCATGGGAAATAAGGGGCAGGCACGGGAGGGGCAGGAGTGGGGCTCAGTGCACAGGCAGGAGAGACCAGCGGGTGCAGTGGTGCATGCCTGCGGCCCGGGATGAGGGCTGCAGAAGAGACCAGCGGGTGCAGTGGTGCATGCCTGCGGCCCGGGATGAGGGCTGCAGAAGAGACCAGCGGGTACAGTGGTGCATGCCTGCGGCCCGGGACGAGGGCTACAGAAGAGACCAGCGGGTGCAGTGGTGCATGCCTGCGGCCCGGGACGAGGGCTGCAGGAGGCCAGCCGGGTGCAGTGGTGCATGCCTGCGGCCCGGGACGAGGGCTGCAGGAGGCAGCCAGGGCAATGCAGTCGTGCATGCCTGCGGCCCGGGACGAGGGCTGCAGGAGGCAGCCAGGGCAATGCAGTGAGACATCATCATGGCACGAGAACGAGGTCATGAGCATGTGAGGAGTCCTAAAAGGACTGTCTTTCCCCTAAGTAAATATTGAGCTCAATAGGAAATCAGTTCAAAAACCCCCTTGGGTACAAACACCATCAGAAACTCTGTCACTGACCCCTCAATTCACAACTGGGCAGTTAACTGGGTCAAGTTACCAGGAAAGCCACCACACACAAGTGTGAGTGAGGAATGAGTACCTCTTTGACATTCTGCAAGGTTTCCGGAGTGATCGTGAAGTCAACGGGACTCGGAGTCAGCTTCCCCTTCTGAGGCTGAAAAGGAGGTAAAACCCTAGTCAGCAGGGCGGACCTGGGGGTGAGCGGCTTTTCCTTTCTGACTAAAATGAACGGCAGCACAGGAGACTAACTGGAAGGACGCGGTGGTGAGAAGCAGGGGATGTGGTTCCAAACAAACCCTCCCCCAGTACTGTCTCATCTGGACGCCGGGGCCCGATGTCTCCACCTGAGACCCTCTGGGCTCAGAACTGAAGTCAGAGATGGGGAGCAGAATGGTGAGGCTGGGAGACAAGAGCTGCGGCCACCTCACATGTGACAGAGAAGGGACATGGAGCTCAAGGACTTGCTCGCTATGTGCAGAGTTGAACCAGACTGGCCAGTGCTGCTTGCCATTAGCTAGAGAGCTTCCTACTAGAAGGAACATTCCAGAATCCATTCACACGGCCAGGCTACACGGAAGCCTGTCTGGAACCACAGCCAAGGGCCAGGATCCAAAAGGCCAGCAAGACCCAAGACCCAGAGATGCAGAGAGGACGCAGCCAGTGTGCCAAGTCCACTCACGTCCCAAAGGCTTATTCCACAGAGCTCTCTTCTCAACACACTCTAGCTCAACAGGTTCACAGCCCGTTTTCTTGTCAGAATGTTCTTCCTGCTGCCCATAAGGAACATTGAACTTGCAAACCACATGCCAAAGTAAACTGTAGCCTTTCTGTGAGGCCTCCAATAACAGTTCTCTTTTCTTTCTTTTTCCTTCCTTCCCTCCCTCCTTTCTTTCTTTCTTCCTTCTCTCTCTCTTTCCTTCTTTCCTTCCTTCTATCCATCCATCCATCCATCCATCCACCCACCCACCCACTACCTATTTTTGAGGCAGAGTCTCTCCACATAGCCCTAGCTGTCTTGGAACTCACTATGCAGACCAGGCTGGCCTTGAACTCACAGGGATCCACCTGCCTCTGTCTCCCAAGTACTGGGATTAAAGGTGTGCGCCACCACTGCCAGCCTTCTTTGTTTTTTTTGAGACAGGATCTCATCACTCTGTCACAGCACAGGGTGGCTCTGAGCACACCATGTAGCCCAGGCTAAAGCTGAATTCCTGGTGAGCATCCTCCCTTCTGAGCGCTAGAATCACAAACGTGAGCTTCCGTGCTTGACTAACAGGATTCTTGAAAGCCCTGTGGTGACAGAATACCATGAACACAGACGGGCCCTGTGGTGACAGAATACCATGAACACAGACGGGCCCTGGACAATGCAGTCACTGCTCTGGGCCTGATCATCTTAGGAGGGCTCTGTACGCACAGGGTAGGGACTTCAGAGAGGCCCTGGGCTCAGGGCTGAGTTAAGACTCACTGTTCTTCACAAAAATAAAGCTTTCCATGTTATAGCCATAAAAGGCTCTAAGTTTGTCTTAGGACATAAAGCCCAAACACTTGAACGTAGATTACTTAAAGACCTTTGATGGAAAAAGAATAGCCATCTTTTACAACATGTAATTTTCAAAACCAAAACAATTTAATCATATTTTACATAAATTAGGAGCTGTAAGTAGGTAACTACAATACTAGGGGTCCTAAAAATGTGTTACCCAAATAAGGGAATGCACATGAGGGCCCTGGGGACGACCTGGCTAACATCCTGCACTGTGACCCACTCTCAGAGCATCCCAAAGATGTCACATCACAGTGTGACACAAATCCACGTGGGACCCTCCTGACCCGCCAACCACCCTCACAGACGCCCTGCCGAGTCCCTCTTCACCGAGGTGCACAGCGCGGCGGTGGGATCCAGTGGGCTCCACCCAGCACCAACATGGCGATGGCATACGGAGCAGCCTGGTCAGAAACGCTCATGAGCGAGCACGGCACTGCACCCCTGCCCGTCCACAGAGCTCCCGCAGAGGATGTGGAGCAGGCCTGGCCAGCTCCCTGAAGCCTCAGAGCAAGTTCCTCTGGCTGACACTGTCCAGCAACCCAGCTGCACCGTCCCAGGTAGCTCTCCAGCCAGGTTCCTCCAAGGTCCCTCTCAAGGATCCTACCTCAGCCCTGGACTCCTTGGACACCAGTCTGACGGAGGGAACAGCAGGGTGTCGAGGAGACAGACTGACCACTGGCCAGCGCCAACAGTGGTGCTCCCAGGACATGAGGGCCAGCACGTGGCCGCCTCTGTGACATCAGCCCTAGTGAGGTCTGAGAGACTGTTCTGGGGATGGATCTGTCACCACACGTCACACCAAGGGGAAGTGTTACCACTGTTGATTCTCTGTGATCACGCAGGCCAGTGGTTCCAACTTCCTAATGGGGCGACCCCTTAATACAGTTCCTCCTGCTGTGGTGACCCCAACCATAGAATTATTTCTGTTGCTACTTCATAACTGTAATTTTGCTACTGTCACGAACTGTGATGTAAGTGTCTGTATTTTCTGACGTTCTTAGGTGACCCCTGTGAAAGGGTCATTGGGAACTGCTGATGTAGGGTATGGCCTGCCTACATCAGCCTACTTGTTATGAACTCCCCAAGTAACTACAGCAGCGGAGGCCAGGGACCAACTACCCAAGACGGCACGGAGGGGCATTTTTAAGAATTTGTTACTGCAACATCTAGGCAAAAAGTGTGAGGATCGGAAAGAGACAGGCCTGCACATCCCGTGTTCTCACATGAAAGCAGTCTGTCTCTGTGTTTGCCACAGCAACCTGAGGGCCAAGGTGGGTGTCTCCTTTGCAGAGACAGAACAGTGTGCTTACTGCTTGTCATAAAATGGGATTCCTGAGGTGCGGACCCAGAGCTGGGTGTCACTCACTGAGCCACAGAAATAGTGCTCATGTCGCCAGTGTCCCATGGGGCCTCGCGTCCCCGCCGGACCCCGCCTGCTGGCTTGTGAACAGGTGCTACCCCACTTCTCACAAGAGAGCCTGGGGCTTACCGCAGAGTGAACGATGAACTCGCAGGTCTTGGTCAGGTCCTTGGCCAACAGGGACCGCCGCATGTCACAGCGCAGTGTGTACTAGAGGAGAAGCAGGAGAAGCAAGCGTCATCTCAGTAGACACAACGTCCAAAGGACAAGCAGTCAACATACTTTAAGGACCTTTAGCCAATGGATGTGTTTCATGTAGTTGATATACCCGAGAGGAATTAATTTGCAAACTACGGGCATTTCTAAACAAAACACATGCGGCTGTTCCCACAGGCAGGGTGTGGAGGTAAGAACAGGTAGCAGGGCACAGAGGCTTGAAGGCTTGACGCAGCTGGCCACCTGTGTGAGCCCAGACACAACACAACCCCTCTGAGCTGCAGCTTCCCTCTGCACCCCGGGGATATGGACGTGGACCTGTGACGGGATCCATGAGCTCCACTCTGGATGCTGAGTGTGAGGGGCCAGAGCCAAGTTCAGCCACACTGTCCTGAGGAGTTTTTCATTTACCAACAAGAAGCCATGGATGATAACATGAAAAAAAGAAAAAACAGAACTCCAGGGAATCCTACAAACTATTCCTGTGTATTTTAAAGAAGAAACAAAAATGGTATTTTTAAAAGTTTAAAATTCAGAGACAGCTAGAAGTAAGAAGACTGGGATTAATTAATGTCCATGTCCAGGCACCACAGAGCCAGCCTCCGTTCCCAGCGGTCTTCCCAGCCCTGTCCATCATTCTGCAGACGGAGCCCCAGGTGAACCAAAGGGCAGGAGACAGGGGCATGGGGGACGCTGGCTTTGCCTTTGGCTTGTTCATTTTTCCAAGTGTGTGGCGGCTTTTCTGGGCTTGTCACCCCTAGAGGAGTTCCTGCTGTGAGGAGCCTCTGTCCTCCTCAGGAACTGGGCACTGCAGTGTGGCCACTAAGTTACCTGGTTGTGGCACAGGAACTGTGGCCTTAAATCAGGCAGCCCAGAAACCACCCTAGTGCTAGACTTTAGGAACAACTTCGGGAGCCAGGGTGCGGCTGGGCACCTGCTCAGCATGTGCAAAACTCTGGGTTCCATTCCCAGCGTTATAAATTAGACCCCACACCCTCATATAACTCCTGTTTAATTGACTTACCTGTTGCTTTAATCATATAGGAAAAACCTAGGACTGTACGCATGGCTATGAATCTTGTAAGAAGCTACATTCTTTTTTTTTGTTTTTTTTGGTTTTTCGAGACAGGGTTTCTCTTGTGTAGCTTTGCGCCTTTCCTGGAACTCACTTGGTAGCCCAGGCTGGCCTCAAACTCACAGAGATCTGCCTGCCTCTGCCTCCCGAGTGCTGGGATTA